AATGCCGAAGAAAAGGGTCCAAGATTCCAAAATCCTTGATTGGTGCCCTGGTTCACTCGAGTCCCTGATTTTGGACCATGCGCGGACTGTAATCCGGATTCAGATCAGGTTCATCAACAAGCTGATGGTGTTATTGTTGACTTCTATAGTTAATGGTCCACGATGCTATTGGTGAAGGCGCACAATGGGGGGTTTTCTGACAACTGGCTTTCCACGTGTCTCAACCAGGCTTCTCCTCTCTCGTAACTTGGTCTGAGGACTGGCCCGAGACATTCCGTGCAGCATAAACCAAGGTCAGACTGAGCTGGACCAGTGTTTACTCGATCATATCGATATCATCGTTCGCGGCGGGGACCGCGGCAGCGGCAGCGCCACCGTTCGGCTGAGGCGCAGCCTCTCCGGAGTTGCCTCCGCCAAAGTAGTCAGCCATCTCGGCATCCAGTTCCTCCTGTGTCTTCCGAGTACGACCGTCTCTACCCGAGCGGCCACCTCTTCCACCTTCTTGGTCTCTGCCGCCATCTCTACCACCGTCTCTGCCACCATCTCTACCGCCTTCTCTGCGAGCTCCAGGTCTGCGTCCGCCACCACCGCCACCGTTTCCGCGCCGGCGGGGCATAGGGCTTCGCGAACGGTTTCCACGGCTTCCGGGGACGTATCTGTCAATGCCTCTCTCAGCAGCCTCGTCGACATCGTATCTTCGTCCAGGGGACATGGATCTCGAGCGACCGCCGGGAGCAGAGATTCGCTCTGCAAGTGGACGGCCCGGCATCACCGCCGAGTCAAAGGGGTTGCGAGATCGACCGCCGGCTCCACCGCCAATGATTGACAGTTTGATGGGTTGGCCTGAGATGTTAGTCTTTGAACTGCCACTGACAAATTGACTCGAAAAAAAGGCACTTACCGTTAGCATTAGCACCGTCAAACTGCTTGATCGCGTCCAAAGCATCCTCGCGGGACTCCATCGTGACGAAGGCAACGCCCTCCGAGCGACCAGCGCGATCATACTTGAGATCCAACTTCGCGACAGGGCCGATTCTGTTAAACAATTCCTGCACAAGCTTTAGTCCGGGCCACGGTATTCGACACCTTTAGGGGAGCATACTTCCAAGTCGTCAGGAGTCAACTCGTAGTGGATGTTCTCGACGCGGATTTTCGAGCTGCTCGAATCTCTGTGACATCCAATCAGCGTATGCTCGGATGGATTACGGCACAAAACTTGCCTTTGCTCAGGCTCGTCGCGTCTCCGTCGAGGGGCCGGCGCACGGCGATTGTCTGCTCCGCTTTAGCTCATGTTGTAGGTGTGGTATAGGATATTCGGTCGTACCGTGCTCTTCGAATCGATCGTGAACCCATTCACTATTCGCAGGATTAGCTCACTGCCACCTTGGGAGTTCATTCTGCGTGGAAATACCTATCGAGGTTTCTAGGCTCGTCACGGAAGGACTGTATCGCAGGACGGCGACACCTGTTAGCTGTGCCATTGCAATCGACAGGTACCGCTCCCGGCCTTCAACAAGACGGTCGGCATGGAACCGAAAGCTGCGCGGTAGTCGTGGTCGACCGGGATGAGGAGGGAGGAGGGTCATTCAACCTGGACAATCAGCCTGGAGATCTACCAGGTGACGGGTTGTGTATGCGGCATCGTACCTTTCTAACGCCGTCGCGAGGATATTCCTGGCGTTCGCGTTCGCGTCTTCGGGGGGCGCCTCTACCGTTTCCACGGTTGTTGCGAGGGCCGTCGCTCTTCTGCAATTATTTTGGTCAGATCCGAGGTCGCATATCGTACAAGGCTGCGGGTTTCCTTACCTTCTCGCCAAGGATCTCGTCAAGGCTGCGGTCCAGCTTGTCCGCCATGATGATTTGTTGGGTGGAAGTATGTTCAGAAAAGAATCTATGCAACCCAAGATGTCGAATTGGGTGGTCAAAAAAATCACCTCGGTACCGTGGGAGGTGAACTTTGCTGCAGGATGTAAAAGGGACAACAATGCTGATCGCGACTCAAGTGACCGAGTGCAGTAGACGCAGCTGGTAAAGGCAGGCACGGCTGACCGCGGATTGAATGGAGCATCCGACCGCCAAAGAAGTGTGGCGCACGTTGTGCTAGGGACAAAGTGGGTACGTGGCTGAAGCCCCTCGACTCTGCTGGAACTTTGCTTAAATAGGTTAGCACCAATTGGCTTCGAGATGTAGAACAGGAAATCTGGAAATAGCTCCCCATGTTTTGACGCCTGGCGGGCTCCCCACTACAGGTCTCAGGGGTCCGAGTAATCCACTCCATTTGACCCACCTCAGACTCCCAGTGGCTTCCCATCCGCCCACCGTTATCCACTCAGTCAGTGGAGTGAACCCGCAAGTACGCACCAAATAGCGCTGCTGGTCGCAAGCTTTACAGGTGCTGTCTCGCTTGTCTCGCCTGTATCATCCGTGCCGTCAGCGCCCTGCATCCCCTGATGTGAGGCAGGAGGATCTCTCGGCCCGGAATTAGTCCTCGAGGGAGATGAAGCTAAGCCCCTTTTGTCGTCTGAAGTGTAACTTTACTGTAGAGCTGTCCTCCCGATGCGCCTCCCTTGAGTTGACCAGCCCGCCAGAAATAGGAATCTCGTATCTGGCCAATTTCTTCACTCCCTCGGCGAGAGACACACGGGAAGGAGCGCTCAGTGTCATCTTTCATATCTATTGCATGGCACCCCCGATTCCCTGCGACAAAGGAACGAAAACCGTACCTGTTCTTCTTAGGACCCAATACCCGCGATAACCAAAGCTCGCTTGCAGCTTCGCGAAAGCCAAGCCAAGCCAAAAAACCATCGAACAACCACCTCTGATCCCTCGACAACCTTTATGATTTCCGCATAGTCCCCCTACTCGTCAGATTGCCTGCCATGGCCCGTCCCATGGGGTCAGTTCGCTTGAAGAAGGCGAACCCGGTAACCCTCGTCCTCGGCGCCGTCCTCTGCATCTTTATCGTCGTCTTCCTCATCGGACCTTCCAAGTCAACAAAGGCAGAGCCAGCCGGTACCGCCTCCCACCATCTATCACCTCCTACCGCCCCATACCGAAAGAAGGCCAAGGGCGACACGAGACCGCCGCCCGTCGTCCGCTACAACCTCAACAATGTCACCATCACGACCGACCCCATCGGCAACCGCGAATCCGTCCTCATCCTGACGCCGATGGCGCGGTTCTACCAGGAATACTGGGATAACCTCTTGAACCTCAACTACCCTCACGACCTCATCTCCCTCGGCTTCATCCTTCCCAAGACCAAGGAAGGAAACGCAGCGACCGCGGAGCTACAAGAGCAAATCACAAAGACCCAGGGCTCAGAGAAGAACCGCTTCAAGAGCATCGTTATCATGCGCCAGGACTTTGAGCCGGCCATCGCATCCCAGGACGAGGGCGAGCGGCACAAGATGGAGAACCAAAAGGCCAGGCGCGCCGTCATGTCAAAAGCCCGCAACTCGCTGCTCTTCACGACCCTGGGCCCCCAGACGTCGTGGGTGCTCTGGCTCGACGCCGACATTGTCGAGACCCCGCCGACCCTGATCCAGGACCTGGCGGCGCACGACAAGCCCGTCATCGTCCCCAATTGCTTCCAGCGCTACATGAACACGGAGACCAAGAAGATGGAGGAGCGGCCCTACGACTTCAACAGCTGGCAGGACAGCGAGATTGCGCAAAAGATGGCCGAGACAATGGGCCCCGACGACATCCTGCTCGAGGGATACAAGGACATGCCGACATACCGCGCGCTGATGGCGTACTTGGGCACTGATGAGAAGGATAAGTCGGTGGAGATCCCCTTGGACGGCGTCGGCGGTACTGCCTTGCTTGTCAAGGCAGATGTCCACCGCGACGGGGCCATGTTCCCACCCTTCTCCTTCTATCACCTCATTGAGACTGAAGGTTTCGCCAAGATGGCGAAGCGCCTAGGCTGGCAACCGTTCGGACTCCCGAATTACAGAGTAAGTAGACGTCAAGATGTCATTGATCTACACAACCGCTCACACTACTTCAGGTTTATCACTACAATGAGTAAGGGCTAGGCATCACGATGGATGTGATCTGGGAAACAAAATGACGAGTACATCACGCCTTTCATCTAGAGGTGTTCAATGGAAAACAGAAAGTTGAAACATCCCCCACCCACCTCTTAGTCGCCAACAGCATCGGTGGCGGTATTACGAATTTTACGCGCGGAACAGACCTCATTGGAAAGAAACCTCATATGCTCCTTTACCCCTATGTGCAGATTACCCCCTTTCTTTCGTATCTTGCCAAAACATAACTGCGTCCCACTTTCTTCGGATGGGAAATGGCGGCCGGGGGGTTGGGCAACGGGCGTTCTCTGCAGTACATTTCACACAGCAAACTACATAAACAAATCTGGGAGTCTGGTGGAATATCGGAGGGATTAGCTGGTTAAAGGGGGTGGGAGAAGGCTTCACTTCTGACCATTGGCTTCTTGAGGGTGTAAGATGAAAAACAACGACGCGCCGCGAGGAATCGAGAGGGGGGTGCGGTGACGAATCGTGGGTTGAGCAAGATATCGGCGGCATTAGAGAGAGCACCTATTCCATGTTTTCAAGGGCTCTAGTGTGATAGAACAAATGATATTGTATCTCAAAGTGAGCTTCTCGCTGCAATTATACAATCTGTCATTGAGTGATGATGATAGCCCTCTGGGTACTCCCTACCAAACGAGCCTTCCGTCCTTTCCCTTCCCAGCCCATCCCGTTCCATGTACATTTTATGTATGTGATCTTGTCAAGTTATCTTTATCCAAAAACATAAGCCACTGCTGAAATCCAACCCAAATTCTCTCCCTTTAGAAGACTGGACCGCATCAGTCTACCAGCCAGCTAGGCAGGGTAACGTTCTCCCAAGTCAGACTATGCCGCCTCCAAGCTACGATGACAGCGACAGCCTTCACCCCGCAAATCAACCTCCCCTCGCCTCCCCAATTCCTAACGGCCCTCCATCTACGGTCCTCTACGACCCCTCTACGGCCCATCATACCGCCCCTCGTCATCGCGGCACCAAAACTCAACGAGCGCGCGCGTGCCCAGCACGTCCCCGCCGCGCAGCAGCGCCGCGACGTCGACGTTGAGCGGCGAGTCCGTCTCCGGGTAGGCGAGCAGCGTGCGCACGGCGCGCACGCTCTCGAGGACGCTGTAGGCGGGCGTCCAGGCGTCCTTGAGCAGGTCGAGGCAGATCTCGCCCGTCTGCAGCGCAATGTTGGCGTGGACCACAGGCGTCGCGAAGCGTATCGTCGGCGGGCGGATGGGGTAGTCTGTCGGGATCTGGATGTGTAGGAGCCAGCGGCCCTCTGTGTCGTTGGGTTAAGTATTAGCTATGGTCCCCAAGATGGAAAGAGGGGGGGCGATTGTGCAAGGGAAGAAGAAGAAGAGAGAGAAGACCTACCATCATACCCGTTCCCGATCCCCCGCCCGTTGACAACAGCCTCCCACGTCAACAGATCCTCATCGTCGACGGGGCCCAACCTCTCGATGCCCCTCTCCTCCTTCTTCTCCGACCGCCACACGTCGAGCTCCTTTATGAGCCTCTTGATCGCGCCGCGCCCGTCCGACGTGGACTTTGACTTTGACTTCTTGCTGCCACGGTCTCGTTCTCCTTCGCCTCCTGGCGCCGCGCCCGAGGGATTCGTCTGGGAATCGGGCAGGTTCTGAATGCGCCACGACATCTTCGACAAGTTAGGATTCCTGTCTCCTGCTTGCAATCCGGGCTGTGCGCGCGATGGATGGACGGACGGACGGACGGACGGAGGGGGGAGGACCTGTGGTTCGACTGATAGGCTCCTGGAGCTTATGGGTCGCAAGTAAGGGAGGGAAGACGGCCAATTGGTACGTAATCGCGTATGAGTTGATGTGGTTCACGACAGTGTTCGAGTAGATTCTCGGAGCAAGCTAGCTATATGAATAGCTGTTGATAATCTTTTTGGATTGGGGGGAAAGCTTTGGGGCAATCCCCAAGCCGATGGGCTGGGTTTAACTTAGTTACCTTACCTTAGCAGTAGCCGAGCCACGCTCTCCAGCTTCCCCAGGGTGTCACTGAGACGTACCTTGTGACGCGACAGGATACCTAGGTGGGTCCTGTGGGTTCAGCCGAGGTTTCCCACACCGGCTCTCGACTCCGGGTTCAGTCCGGCATCTGACCAACATCATCCGCATCGTCCGTACGCCGTTTGCGTTCCATTTTGTTCCGTCTCGTGCCATCCCGGCCAGTGTCACTGAAGTCTTCACAATGCAAATGCTCAAACTCAGTATCATTGGCAAGTGGTCAAGTGGAAAGATTCAGAGTGACTCTCAGAAATATGTTCATTAATATTTGTCTACGTCGCGATTTGTGCCATCTTCCATCGTCTAGAGGGCTGAAACAGCCGGCCGGCCAAAGAACTATGAGAGACACTGCAAAAGTGCCTCGACTTGTCTGCCTCGCCAAGTTTTCGCCTTCCTAAATTCGCATTTCATCCCCGATATGTCCAGAGAACGGAAACAAAACCATTGAACCACATGTTTCCGGCCCCCACAGTTGTCACCAAGACATATGGCCGCGAACCTGCTATGCTCATGCAACTTGCTGCTCATGCTATCATCACAAAGAACGCCGAATCCGTGTCCCAAAAAAGCCGAGTCGTCGGGGTTTCCATCTCTGCGCGTTGCGTGAAGCTTTGGTGACGACCCGGTGTTGCTTTTCTTTCGCTAGCCAGGCTGCGTCGGCAATGTAGTTGCAGACGCAAATCCCGTCCTAGCGAAGAAAGACATTGTTCCGCCAGAAGGATCTGGTCGAAGAGAAAGTGTAAAGAGTTGTACAATAATTCCATATACATGCGTCATGAAGTCACATTTGTTGTTTGCGGTGAAAGCTGGCTATATCGTAGCCAGTCACCCTGACTCGTTGGTGTGCGTCTCCTATTGAAGTCTAGGATGCGGCCTCCTCTTTGCTGGGCTTCCAGAATCGCATCATCCGGCTGAGTCGTTTCGATTTGCTGGACTTGTGCTTCTTGTCACCCTCGCCATCGTATGAGACCTCCATTGATAGCTTGCTTCGCTCCCCATGAGAACTGCTGATAAGTCTACTCAGACTGGCAAGGCTGGATCGCCGCCGCCCGAATGCTGCTGAAGATACTGAGACCGGCCGCTGTTGGTCGGGTCGTATGGGCTCCTGTCTCAATTGAGAGCTGGTGGCAAAGGAGCTGTCCCTTGTCATGGTCGAGTGACTAGAGGTCAATGACGGTATATCTACGGAAAGCCTGACTTCTGGGCCCGGCTCCCCGAGAAGTAGAGATTGGAAGTTGTTCTCCTCATTGACTGAAGATGGTGCCGTAGAAATCCGCTGAGCGTCGTATGACATGGGCGAACGGGGTGATGGGAAGGATGAGGCGTGGCTCATTGAATAGGGGCTGACGGGAACGTGCGAAGCAGTCGGCAGGTGGAGGGGACTAACGTCGACAGGGGCCAAGTCCTTGCTGGCGAGAATTCTGCGCGGAGACGGGGTTGCGGAACCAGTAGACTCTGCTTTTTCGTTGAAGATGGAGCCGGTACGGAACTCGGGGATCTGGGCAAAGGGCTCTTCAACAATGACGTCCTCTTGCAGGGGAATGGGCGCTGTCTCCGCGCTCATCTTGGCTTCTACTTTCGGTGCGTCCGTACCAGTGACCTGATCACGGCTGATGCTGCCATCAGGGCCGCTGATAGAAGTATCGTCGAGAATGGGCTGCTGGACTTTGTTGACAGCGGGCGGTGTCGCCTCGTCGCCAGAGGATTCCGCACTGTCGTTGAAATCGCCTCTGTTGGCACGACTGCTCGTGTACAGTGATGCGCACTTGCCAGGGTGCTCGTCGTCTTCTTCGTCCTCCTCGAATACGTCGGCCATTGTCGAGCTGCTGCCAAAACGATGTATGCCAAATCGGCCCACATCGAATGGTACCATCTCAGGGGCGCTTTCAGCGCGACGGTGGTAGTGCATTCCTGGCCCGCTGAAGCCTTTCATACCCTGTGCGCTGTGCAGCTGGCGCTTGGTGGAGGCTGCGGCTTTTTGGGCGGCGTCCCATTCAGGGTTATTCGCAAGAGGCGTGTTGAAAGGACCCAGCGCAGCATCCAGATCAATCATGGGGAAAGATGTGTCGTCTTGGGCCGAGGCAGAGCGCGGCTTCCATTCTTGTAAGCTCTGAGGTTGGCTGGATGTATCCGTCACCATGAGTGTAGGTGTGACCGGTTCGACGTTCACTTCCGGTTCCATCAAGAGTGTGAGGGGTTCATCCTTCTGCTCGATTGTCTCGAACTGGCGGGCAGAATCGCCCGTAAGATCCAGGTCTTTGCACTTCTTGTTCCGCGGTTTACTCTTTCGTGCTAGAATTGATCCGGCCCAGTTCTTGACCTTCTTCTTCTTCTTGGACTTCTTGCCGTCTGCTCTCTGGCCGGCGTGGTCCGAAAATTCTGAGAAGCCAACCGATTCCGAGTTGGGCTCTGAGGTTGATGAGGAAGATGAGCTGGTTGGCTTGGATCCAGAATCTGAAGAACTCGAGCTCACGGGCCTCGTGCGAAGTGGTGACGCAGTTGCGTTGAAAGGGTCCAATCCGAAGAATGACCACCTCTTGGGAGTCTTGGTTGGACTAGGCATCGGGGGGCCGACAGAGCCTGCTTCAGGCACGTTGATTAGGGTAGGAATGGAGTTTCTCCTCCTTGGCGATGCCCCGACTGATTGGATGCTCTGGGATCGTTCCAAAACCGCCCCAGCAGTGCTAGGCCTGGACTCGTTGTTCTGGCGAGAAGGTGTAAGTACCAGAGGAATAATAGGCTCGGTCTCCACATGTGTAGTTGTCGTTGGGATGGAAATGATGGACGAAATGCTTCCAGATACCGAATGCCCTCCGGGTCGAGCTGTAACTGTGCTGGAAGTATCGCTTGACACCATTGATAGCGGGCGTGGGATGAACTCGAGGGTATCAGAGAACCCAACACGAGCACGCGTGACTGGCCTGGCTGCGGGAGAAGCCCTGCCACTTGATGAACCCGAATCTGCAGTGACTGGCCTGGTAAGTTCTCTGGGCACTCTGAGGACTGGTTCGGATTCAACACCCTTCAGAGTCTTCTCGACCAGACCCGCATTGTGATGGTCTAAACGCCGATCAAATTCAGCCGGGCTTGTAGGAGCACTGTTGCCCCTGAGGTTACCGGACGCTGAAGGCTGGACAATGAGAGATAGGTCATGGCTTGAGAGCGCAGCAGAGCGTCTGTGTTTGTGGCCACGACCGCCCGGAGGCTTCGGGGGCAATTGGAAGTTTGGGGACGCAAAACCACTCTCGGATCTCGTTGGGCTTGTGCCAGTTACGGTGATGGAATCTCCAGAACGGATGCTTCCTCCTACAAACTCGCTCCCTCCTCTCCTGTGTCCAACTCCAGTTGGTCTTGCAGGTGATGCCGCTAGTCTCGGGGACACAGGCGGAGGGGATAGAGGCGGGCTAAGCAAGAGGGATGTATCTGGAGACAACGAAGCGCCGGGATTGAAGGTAAAGTTGGGAAGCGCGGGTGATCTTGACGGCCGATCTGCTGCTTCTGAGTTCATGTTGAAGGTCGATCGGTCTTGGATTTCGATGGCGGACAGCGGACGTCGCCCAGTTGCTCTCGAGAAGGATGACGGTGCAGAGGCCGAAGAGGGCCTTGCCGGGAAGACGAATGGTGGGTTTGGTAGTGGAGGCATCGTTCGTGGAGAGTGTGGTCCGGAGAATGATGATGTTGAGGAAGTAGAATTATCCAGCATTACTGGAAGAGAAATCGCTTGCATCGAGGGCTCGTCCAAAACCTGTGTACTTGTGGCTATCATCATACTCTCAGGTCCGACAGTGGTTGCCATGCTTTACTGAGCCGCTCTGCGGCTACAGGTTTGATCAGCAACTAAAAGAGGGACATAAAGAGGGCGCAAATGCAAAATGGTCGTCGTTGGTTGAGAATGGAGGATCGTTTGGGTGCTCGACAGAGGACGACGCGTCAGGGGGCGTTTTGCGAAGTGATGGCGGGTTGGGTAATTAATTCTGCAAGGTGGCAGATTTAGCGAGTTGGTTCTTCTTTTCGTTTTTGATATCGCGAAAGAGAATTGGAAGAATCGATGGGCGAATAAACACCTTTCGGAACAAGTCGAATATGGCGCGCTGACGATGGGAATTGGGCGAAATTGGCGTTCACGATTGCGTACGTGACAGAAGCGGTCGACCAGGTAAGACAAATGCTATTTATCGAAGATGAAAATTGAAGGTGTTGTTAAGGAGCGGACGGCACAAGACCAGAAGCAAATCTGCAAGATCTACAACTAGAATTGAACCACGAGACAGAAGTCAAGAAACGACGACGGCCTCGAAGGGTTTTGGGGGGAAGAGAGTTGATGGGAAGAAGAGGGGGGTTGCGACGCGGAAGACTAAAGAGAGGATGGGATGGATGGGTGGATTTAGGATTAGAATTGGGGACAGACACACACACACACACACACGCACACATACACACAACAGCGAAGAAGCGACGAGTCGGGTCCAGCGGTCGGGGTGTGTTGGCGATGGGAGAAAAGGGGGGGTGAGAAGACAGGGATGAAGAGGGTGTGTGGGAGGAAAACCTCAGTTGGGTTTGGACTGGCTCGGGGAGAGGGGGGGCCAGTCTGCAGAGGAGGAAGGAAGTCCAGGGGAAAAAGAGGGAGAAGTAGTAGTAGCAGGAACAACTACGACCAGGGGGCGTGCGATTGTGATTCCAACCTGGAAGTCACAGTCAGGGCCCGGACAAGCAAGGCAGGGACGACCAGGGGCTGTTCAGGTTG